GAGCAGTGCTGGTCTTCTGCATCTTGACTAAGAAGAAGTTTGATGTTGGGAGGATTGTTTACAAACAACTGGTGGCAAATGCACCAAGAAACTCCCCCTTCTTTTTCCCTTTTTTGGTCACTGAAATGTGCAAGAGGTCTGGTCTGAAAGCCAATATCCCGATTTCGGATGAAATCATTCCAGAAGGGTCAGACATTGATCAATCCACGATAAAAAGAATCAGAGACAATGAAGGATTGGAAAGTGAGGAGGAAGAAGAAAAAGAAGAGAAAGAAGAAAAAGAAGGAAAGGAGGAAGAAGAAGAAGCTGAAGTTTCGGGCAGTGTGAAGGAAGAACCTCAGAAAACTCCAAGAAGGGAAAAACTTCCCTTTAAGAGAGCTCCTGCAAAGAGTGGACGAAGACAGTTCCTAGTCGAGACAACTGACATGACTCAATGTCAAACTATGTTCGGTCTCAGAGCAGACCTTCTAGCCACTCAAGTACAAGCCTTAGAAGACACAGTTGGAAGGGAGCTGCAATCTCTGAAAGAAGCCAGCTTGCTCATTAACAAAGAAAAGGTGGCCCTGCAGAACGAACTTGACCAGATAAAAAATGTTGGACCACTGCCTCTGAAAAGGAAGTTTGAGGAAGGAGAATGATTCTCAACCTTGCAAAACACGGTGAAAGACCTGATGAAAGCAGTAGAGATGATGAACAAGAAAATGGAAGAAAGGGAGCAAGCCCACGAAAAAACAGAAAAGACTGGAAGAAGGAGATCAGGCTCTTGAAAGATGAATTGGTGAAGAACAAAGAAGAGGAAATTCAACTCTGATTGTACTACAGAGCTCGGGATCAAATCTTCGCCAGTAACTGGGGAGAAAAATTCAAGGGACAAACTCCATATCCACTGTTTCCAAATGTCTTCCCTCCAGAAGCAATAACAAATGCTCCGTTTAGCGGAGCAAGACAAGAAACTGGAGAGCATTAAGGGTCGCTACGGTGACCCCAGGTTCATTCGTTCCCTATCCTTTTTAACTTGTTTAAATCTGTTGGAATGAATGCCTGAAAGTTTTGTGGTGGAATGTTACTGACTTTGCTCTTAGACAAATGACTTCTGTGGTACAAGGGATTCGCCACCCTGTTTTATTTTTTATTTTTTTTAAATATTATTTTTAATTTTTGCTAAGTTTACTGTCCTAAGTGTCCTGATCTACTCAATGATTCTTTTTGCCCAGGATTTTGCTCCTTGAGATGCCCTAAAGAGTTTACAGTTCTAACAAAGCAACATAGGGCATCACTCTGATTTGGAGCAACACCATGCACAAAAAGCAGCATTCCAAAAATCGGACACTCTGTTATTCAATGGACTTATTGAGTTACCAAGGAAAGAACTTTAGGCTGTTTAAGTAACTTACTCTGCCCCGGTTTAAAAAAAAAAGAGTCAGCTCCTCTGCTCCAAAAACCTCGCTCAAAGAGCTCAAGTCATCAAGGTGAGAGCAAGAGCCGCTCAAAGAGCATGCTGTTGAAGGTCAGCCCTCTGCAAAGACAAGGGTAATTGACTTCCAGTTAAAAGACCTGAAAAGAAAGAAATAGAGAAGGGAGCTAGGAAGTAAGAGAAGAAATCAAGCCAAAAAGTTCAATCCGGAAGCAACTCTGTGGGAAACTGACTAAAAGAGTGGAAGAGGTCACACACACAATGAAGCTGGTGAAACTCACAAGTCAGATGAGTGCTCTAATGAAGCAATGGAAGGAGTAAGTAACTCTTCATCGATAATCTCAAGGAGCATTAGCCTGCCACAAGAAGACTGTTGGTTGTGAAGGATTACTCGGGATGAGTAATATCTAGTTTTGGGGTGATGATGGTCCTCAAGAGTTGAGGCCCATTAAGTGTAAATTGTTCCACAAAACCCATGTTTTGGTTATAAATCACTCCCTTCAACCTTCTTCTTTCCATATAGAGCAACTGTTTTGAATAGTGGACCAGAGCAATACCGAAAGTGGGAGTTAAGGTAGACCTGGAGCAAATTTAACATTATCTTTTTCACAAATGACTATTGGGTTAGTTTGCTTTGTTCAGGACACCTAAGGCCCATCAGAAGGAACCACAAAATGAAGAGAGAAGAAGGAATGTCGCGCAGAAAGGAAAAAAAACCTGCTGTAGTACAACAGCAGTCAAAGGAAGCAATGGGAAGCTGCCACGTCAGCCACAGGAGAGAAGGTGGAGGTGCTACCTCTGCTACAGTACGGAAGCAAAGGAGCTGAGCAACCAAAAGTAGCCACGTCAGCTGCAGCAGAAGGAGTGGAGGTGCCTCCCTGAATCCGATACTCCTACTCACAAAGGGAACCAAAAGCAAGGGGGACCACTTCCATTTAAGGCCAAGCTGGCAAAAAGCAAGGCTACCATTGGAGAGGATTTAGACAAAGCACAACCCTTGATGAAAGGAACAATGGAGATAAAATGAAGAACCCTATAAAAGGAACAAGCAATCCTCATAAACTAGAGGCGCCCATCCTAGGACTGGTTATTTTTTTTCTTTGTTTTCTTTTTGTAAAAATGCTCACTAGGAGCTAACTTCCTCTAAGTAGGTGAGGGTTCCATAGAAGTAATCCCTTTTGTCTTAGGATAACTTTGTAAGGAACACATATTTTATAAATGAATTTTGAGTTGCTCTTTGGTTTAATTTATTGATTTTGTGAAACCCTTTGGGTTGGCAACCTCGTCCCTGGACCACTCGGTTGATGAAACACTGACAAAGGCGTGTGGAGCATTATCAAGATCCTGGGGTAGTTTAGCCTGAAGAAAGGAGGGAGAAACACCTGGAATGGGGAGCACTGCCATGTGAATCCATGCTCTTTTGAGAAGGCAGCATGATTTCCTTGCATATAACTCCAAGTACTATGGAGTAACGTGGAGAGTAAGGCCTTATCCTCTGCTTACCTATAGCAAAACAAGGGAAGGAGCAAAATCCACTTGTAAAATATGCTACCAAGCAGGGTTAACCAAAGGGATGAAAACATGGAACCTGTAACACCTACTTGACTTCTTCTGAAATTAATCTTAACTCAAACCTCTATCACAACCTTTTCCTCACGATAACTGAACTGTGTTTTACCAGCTGATGCTCTTACTTTCACTTCGTTGACTGCTCTTGAAGTTACTTAAATTGATGCCTTTTTATTCGATGACCGTGCTAATTCATTCACTGCTCTCATCTGGTTCAGAATGGTTAACATTGTTTAACTAGCTGCCCAGAGATTGCTCTTTGTGAAGCTTAGCTGAGAATAGTACTTTCTTTTATTGCTCCATTTTACAAATTAAGTTTCCTTTAGCGCTTCTTACTTCACAACTGCTCCCTGAGGACGATAAATCTGGGGCTACAACACCCTATATTGCTTGACACGTACGCTTGCGTATAGTTGAAGAAGGTTGCTCTTAGTCAGAGTAGATTGCTCCCATTGGCAATCTTGATTATTACTCTGCACTCTTGCTCTCTAAAAAGATATTCCCGAGCAGCTTTCGGTTCGACCAAGCATTGTTCATCGGGAAAAGTTTCCTTAATGGCTTGCTCAACTGCTACATCATCTTGCTGCCCGTCATTAAGCCTAGACAAGTGATCAGCCACTTGATTTTCAGTTCCTTTCCTATCCTTAATTTCCATATCAAATTCTTGAAGAAGAAGAACCCATCTAATCAACCTAGGCTTGGAATCTTTCTTTTCCACCAAATATTTTATGGCAGAATGGTCAGCATACACTAGAACCTTGGTGCCTACCAAATTTGATCTAAATTTGTCAAAAGCAAACACCACTGCCAACAGCTCCTTTTCAGTCACTGTATAGTTCAGTTGGGCTCCATTTAAGGTTCGGCTGACATAGTAAATAGAGTGAAAAACTCTATTTTTTCGTTGTCCTAAAACAGCCCCCACTGCCCAATCACTTGCATCACACATTAACTCAAAGGGTAGTGACCAGTCAGGGGCTATTATGATGGGAGCTGAAATTAATTTCTGTTTTAGCTCCTCAAAGGTTTTATGACAAGCCTAATCAAAATGGAATGGGGTGTTATTTTCCAGCAAGTGACTAAGAGGTTTAGAGGTTTTGGAAAAATCTTTTATAAATCTTCTATAAAAACCAGCATGCCCAAGGAAAGACCTTATCCCCTTTATGTTAACAGGGGGTGGCAGCTTCTCAATTTGATCTATCTTAGCTTTATCAACCTCTAACCCAGCCTTGGATATCCTATGTCCTAACACAATGCCTTCTCTCACCATAAAATGGCACTTCTCCCAATTTAGGACTAGATTGGTCTCCTCACATCTTTCAAGGACTTTTCCTAGATTTCCTAGACACTCTTCAAAAAAGTCCCCAAAGACACTGAAGTCATCCATGAAGACTTCCACAAACTGCTCTATCATGTCAGTAAAGATAGCCATCATGCATCTTTGAAAGGTGGCTGGTGCATTGCACAGCCCAAAGGGCATTCTCCTAAAGGCAAAGATGCCAAAGGGACAAGTAAAAGTGGTCTTTGATTGGTCCTCAGGGGCTAAGGCTATTTGATTGTATCCTGAATAACCATCTAGAAAACAGTAATATTCCTTACCAGCTAACCTATCTAGCATTTGGTCAATGAAAGGCAAGGGGAAGTGGTCTTTCCTAGTGGCTTTATTGAGTTTTCTGTAGTCCATACAGATCCTCCAACCAGTGACAGTCCTAGTGGGTATTAGTTCTTTTTTATCATTTTCCACAACAGTGATCCCACCCTTCTTAGGGACACACTGTACTGGGCTGACCCAGTTACTGTCAGAAACGGGATATATAATCCCAGCATCCAGCCACTTTATAATTTCCTTTTTTACTACTTCCTTCATGATTGGGTTAAGCCTTCTTTGCTGCTCTTTAGAGCTGCTGGTTGGGTCATTAAAAAGAATTTTATGTGTGAAATAGGAGGGGTTAATTCCTTTTATGTCTGCCAAAGACCAACCTATAGCCCTCTTAAATTTTGTTAAAACAATCAGCAACTGTTATTCCTCTAAATCAGTGAGCAGATTGGACACTATAACAGGCAAGGTGTCCTTTTCCCCTAGATAAGCATACCTAAGATGATTAGGAAGAGGCTTAAGTTCTAACACAGGGGGCTCTTCAATTGAGGGTTTAGGAAGTTTTAACCCTCTCTTTGCTAATTCTAAAGACTCAAAAATTTTGTTTTTCCAAACCACATCAGTTCTGGAATTCAGCCACTTAACTACTTCTTCAGAATCAGTTTGACTGATTTCTAGACCCTCAAAACCAGAATTTTGTAAAGAGTCTAATGAGGACTCATGCAAAAATTTATCTTTGACTACACAGTCAATAATATCTAGCCTAGAACATTCCTCAATGTCTCTTAGGTATTTCATGGCTTTTAAAATATTAAATTTTACTTGCTCACCATTCACATTCATGGCCAACTCACCCTCCTTAACATCTATGACAGCCCCACCAGTGGCTAAGAAAGCCCTTCCCAAAATAATTGGAACCTCTCTGTCTTCCTCATAGTCTAAGATTATAAAATCAGCAGGTAGAATGAATTTATCTACCTTCACCAAAACATTCTCTACTTTCCCTTCCGGATAAACTAAAGACCTATCAGCCAACTGCAATGTGACAGTGGTCGGATTAGGCTCTCCTACTTACAGTTTTTTGTACACACTCAAAGGCATTAAGTTGATACTAGCACCTAAATCACACAATGCTCTGCCTATGTAGTGGTCTCCTATGGTACATGGAATTGTAAAACTTCCTGGGTCTCCTAGTTTAGGAGGTATCTTACTAAGAAGATATTGACTGCTCTCTTGTGTAAGAGAAACAGTCTCAAACTCTTCTAGCTTCCTTTTTCTTGAAAGAATTTCTTTCATGAAGTTCACATAAGAGGGTATTTGTTCCAATGCATCAACAAATGGGATGTTGACATGCAACTGTTTTAGGAGGTCTAGAAATTTCCTAAACTGATTATCTTGCTTCTGTTTTTGTAACCTTTGAGGAAAAGGTGGTGGAGGTCTTTTTGAGGCAGCAGGTGTCTCATTATTTGGCTTAGGGGCTGAACCCCTTGGAGTGGATTTTTCCATGAAATTATTCCCTAAAGGCTCATCTATAGGGGACTGATTGTCTGATTCAACCAGAATGGGTAAGGGGTTACTATGCGCAGCCCCTTGGGGGCTGTCATGAACAACAGAATTCTGAACAGGTTCAGAATTTGCATCTTTTTCTTTCTACATGTGCTCCTCTTCTCTTTTTTTTTTAATGTGGAAGGTTGAACCACAACTTATGGCTGATTTACAGATCTGCCATTTCTAAGCTCTATCATATTGCATTGCTCTTTATTTCTCCTAGGCTCTTCAGTGTTACTAGGCAAGGTACCAGGGGATCTGGTATTCATAGTGTTTGCTAAATGGCCTAGTTGGGATTCTATGTTCCTCAAGGATGCTGGAATACTTTGCACAATAGCTTCCAAGCTGTTTTGCTTGGTCTGTTTTTTAGCCAAATATTCCCTTAACAAAGCTTCTAAGGAAGAAGGTTGAGCAATAGACATCTCACTAGGTTGAACAACAGCTTGCTGCCTTGAATTTTGTTGGTAATTCTGGGTGGGAAAAGGCATTTTGGTTTGGGCATTGGAGGGGCCAGCTTGCTGCCCTTGCCCTTGGAAATATTGAGGAGGTTGGTTCTGCCTCCATCCTTGATTAAAATTAGTGGAAAAATTATTTTGGTTCCTATTTTGGTTCCCCACATAAAACACAAATTCTGGGTTTGATGGGCAGCTTTCATACAAATGGGGCCCACCACAGCAAACACAAGTTACACTTGTGTTTATTGCGTTAACTTGGGGTTGGGAAACCTTGCCTCAATGGTTTCTCCTTGGGTTCTCACTAAATTGGACAATGCATCAAACAGGAAGGGCTGTTGGGGTTGGTAAACCAGACAATTTCTCTTCAGGCCATTGGGCATAATTTTGGTTATGTGGGCCTGGTTAAAGGACATAGTCATAAACATGCCATTAGCAGCAGAATCTGCCAAAGCCCTGTTTTGAGTATTCAGGCCATTGTAAAGGGTTTGTAACACTGCCCAAGAGGGCAAACCATGGTTAGGGCATTGCTTAAGAAGGTTCTTGGCTAATGTCTCACTATCCCTCTGCATGAAGTTAGCAATATCACCTCTAGTTTGCACTATCTTGTTGGAGGGGGAAAATTTCATGATGAATTTCTCAGCAAGGGTGTGCCAATTGGTTATGGAGTTGGATGGAAGGGAGTTCAACCATTCTTTGGCTTTGTCAGCCAGTGAATGAGGGAAAAGCTTCAATCTTAACACATCATCCGAGATATTGGGATTCCTAAAAGTGTTGGCCACTTCTATGAAATTTCTAAGGTGCTTGTGTGGGGTCTTCCATCAACAACCCATGAAACTGCTCCATGTTTTGGAGCATGGTGAATTCACAGGTTGAGCTATGCTTGGATCTAACTCATCCAACACAGGTATGATGAAGTCCATCATGGACCTATCATTGTCATTT